TCGAATCGCGATCTCGATTCCGTTTCGATTTATCGTGCAGCCCTATTTCCCTATTTAAATCAATGTGATAAACGAGTTAGGTCAAAAGTAATCATAAAGTAGTCTGATTATATTACCTAAAATGTATAATGTAATGGATTACGTTACTAACTACAGTTTTGTCATGTCCTCATCTCGTGGATGATGGCATGGTGAAGTACTTTGACACTTGTGTTTGTTTGTACATTGCTGTTTGTTCACGTTTTTTATTTTTCTACAGATAACGTTGTTAGTTTGCTTGATGTTAATTTCCTTTTCCACAGGTTCGTGGCAATAAATCTTCGAAAGGTTTCACTTACTAGCAGGAAAACTAGAAACTATAGGCTATTCAGATATTTGTATTCACTATGGTGTTGATAGCACTTAAAGACTTAATAAACTCTTTATTTTCAAGCATCTGATTACACTTAAAAATTTTTTACATTGTAATTTGGACTAAATCATGCCTTAGATTTTGATTCAAAGTGTTCTGAATCTTTATTATCGTTCTTTATAGCTGTGACATTCAGTTTGAAGCACATTTTTGTTGTGTATTGTTTTATTGTATTTAAAAATGTAGAGGCTGACACGTCCTCATCTACTCTTCCACTTCAAGTTCCAGCAATTATCGTGATATGAAAATGTGATACATAGTGTGCCTATTTAGAGACATTTATAATGTTACAAAAGATTTCTATTTCCAATAAATGCTGTTCTTTTGAACTTTCTATTCATCTGTGAATCCTGAAAAATAAAATGTATCACGTTTTCCACAAAAAAATATTGTGCAGCACAACTGTTTTCAACATTGTAATAATCAGAAATGTTTATTGAGCAATAAATCAGCATATTAGAATGATTTCTGAAGGATCATGTGTAGGGTTGCAAAGGGGTGGAAAATTTCTGGTAAATTTCCGGAAACTTTCCAAAAATCGCCTGGACTGTTCCAAAAGATCCTGGAAAGTTTCCAAAATTTCTGGAATGTTTCCGAAATTTACTGGACATTCTCCACCTTTTTGCAACCCTAATCATGTGACACTGAAGACTGGAGTAATGATGCTGAAAATTCAGCTGCACATCACAGAAATAAATTACATTTTACCAGATATTCACATAGAAAACAGTTATTTTAGATTGTAATAATTTTTCACAGTTTTTACACTATTTGTGATCAAATGAACGCAGCCTTGGTGAGCAGAAGAGATTTCTTATAAAACTTTACAAAAACTTACTGACTCCAAACTTGTAATCACACATGGACTCTTGTTGTGCGCTTCTCTCTGCAGTCAAACGACGGGACGGAGGTCAACCGGCACACTGAGACGACTCCCAGCCGTAACGAGGTGGAGCTGAACGGACAGCCGCCCACTGCACGACCCCCGCAGGTGCTCACAGACAGCGAGGAGGACGAGGACGAGGAGCTGACTCTCAAGTATGGAGCCAAGCATGTGATCATGCTGTTTGTTCCCGTCACGCTGTGTATGGTGGTGGTTGTGGCGACCATCAAATCGGTCAGTTTCTACACGCAAAAGGACGGCCAGCAGCTGTGAGTATCCGATTTTAAATGACAGTTTCATTGGAGTTGGGTTTCGGCCATGCCCTTCAGGGCTGTTTGACAGAATTAGTTTGTTCATGCCTAAAATCAGCAAACGCTAAATCCTAATCAGCATCACGTCCTGACTTGAATCACAGATGTGGTTGTTCAGGATAAAGGCTAAATTCTTCCATGGAGTCCGTAATACAAGAAATATCACAGTTCAGCTCTCAGTCACCTGGAACAGGAGAATTACGGAGTGTGACTCTGAATATCAAAGCATCAATATTACATTATAGTCATATTACATCACTATAGTCAGGGTTATTATTAGGGCTGGGTAAAAAATATAGATATCTAGATATTAATCGATTCTCTTTTTTACGGAACGATATCGATTCTTAAATCCCAAGAATCGATTAGTCTAGCCTGTTTTCAGTTAATGGACGGAACATTGAAGGACACTTCCCATCCAATAAATCGCAATAAGCATTGTGCTTTGGTGCTTTTAATATGAAACAAAGTCCCAGGTTTATTTTCGAGCCCGACCGATATATCGTTTTGCCGATATCAACCGATATATCGGTATCGGGGAATATGCCGCCGATATAAAACATTTTTTACAGAACATATAATGCAGATAATATGCTTGAAATGGTGTAATTACTTAGTTTGTCCAGCAGAGCGCGCTCCATTGTTTGCTACTGGCGACCTGGATGAAACGTTTAAATTACATCGCTAATGTCATAGAATAGCACATTGTAACGCAGTGTTACAGCGTGCCCCATCTGCGCAACTGGAATTTAAAACTGGTTAAGTGTCTTCTGCTAGTAATCAAACAGGGTTCCCACGCTTCTTGCGACCAAACAAGCAGCACTAATGATTGGGGGTGGAGATGGGGGAGCGCGGAAAAAAAAAATGTGTGTGTTGAGGTGCAGCCTAGAGACCTGAGCGAGACAGTTTTCTTAAGCCTGCTCCTGCTGAATTTCTGACCATTACCGCCCTCTCCCGCAACGTGTGTGTCACGCTCCCGCAAACATTCTTATTGTCTTATGCATTCCTCTAGGTCAAAGATTAAAAAATGGGATTTACAATAAAGTAATTTACAAAATTATTTTGACTTGAGTTTATTTATTAATGAGTAACGTATCTTTTGAGTGAATGTGCAAATTTGTAATGTTATCAGCTTTTACCATGTTATTACAACATTTAACCAATTTTTATTCATTTAAAATTAATTTAAAACCATTATAAGTGTTTGATCACCACATTTGAGTGATCATTGCAAAAAATGTGTTTATGTATATATATTCTGTTAATGTATATACTGTATTCTATATATAGTACCAGTCAAATGTTTGGACACACGAATGGGAAAGTGTCCAAACTTTTGACTGGTACTGTACTATAATATACACAAAGAATATCGGCCGATATATCGGTATCGGCCTTTTTTTTACTCCCTAATATCGGTATCGGCCCCAAAAAACCCATATCGGTCGGGCTCTAGTTTATTTTATGTCCATTGTATTGCAGTATTCAAACAATAAATGCCGTTTTGGCGCTGTTTAATGTGGAGTGACAGATCGCTGGAGCGCCTCAGTTTAACAGACGCGGCAGCGCGTAGCGCACGTGAACTAGTTATCTCTGGCGCTGTTTAATCTGGAGTGACAGATCGCTGTTGCGCAGTTCAACAGACGCGGCAGCGCTTAGAGCACGTGAACTAATCATCTCCACATTAATACCAGCTTCAGCACAAAATAAACATGACTAAACATCCAAAGGTAAGTTAAAAGAAAGTACAACTTTACAATCTGTGTCCTGTCTCGTGTAATGGCTCAATCAGTGTTTCAGCCGCGCAAAGATGTCAATATAAAGTCTTGTAAACAATGTCACGTCACATTTACCTCAGAAACATATTCGGTGACGATAAACTCATTAGTCAGCCAGAAAAATAAACTGTACAGAGGGGTATTTTGCTAAATATATGCACCATATAACATATTCATTATCATTTTTACTGTTCTTATGTTTAATTTATGTTTGAATAAATCCATCAATTTTTTATGATAGCTACCATTTAAATTTTTATATTAAAAAAAAACCGAATTGAAGTAGAAATATTATTATGTAATTGTAACTTTATTATTTTAAAAACTTTTGTGTAATTTTAACAGTTGTATGCTATAGCTTACAAATCAGTCAATTTTAACCTTCAATATTATAGTAATGTAGTACCAAATGACTCGTGTATATTTCACAGTATTAGTTGAGAGATTTTTTTTCCTTGAGAAAATTTGGCAAGTAGGCCTACTGTACCTGATATACATCCAAAAGAATCGATATATTGAATCGAATCGAATCAAATTGGTAATCAAATCGAATCTAAAGCTTGTGAATGAGAATCGAATCGAATCGTGAAATTTGTGTCAAAACCCAGCCCTAGTATTTATGTATATAAATTTGTGTAAAAGGACATTTGAATAAAGTATTATACTGTAATAAGGAATAAGGAAAGATTGCACTGCATCCATTGGGCCAAAGCTGTACCCTGGGTTTAATGGGAAAGATGCATGTTCGGTGGAAAAGCTAATAGAGAAAGTGAGCTTTAAATACTGAGTAGATGGCCTTCTCTGTCAGCTTTTTGAGTTTACAGTCTCATATGTGTGTCATTTCAACAGTAAACCTCAGTTTGTTTGCCAAAAAATAAAAGGGCTTAATTTTCATTTGATTTAAAATAAATGTTTAATGCCTTCATTTGATTTTCAGAAAAATTTAAACAAGAATTTCTGGAGAAGAAAGAAAGAAAAAGTTTGTAGGGTCCTATTCTTCAAAATGTTGAAATTGAGACTTTTGGACTTATTTTTTCACTGAAATAAATGTTTTTGTAATTATACAGAGAGTAAAGTACCGAAAAAAGGTACCGTTGGGTACACAGCCCTAATTATTATGGTTAATGTAACACCTGGACAAATCAGACACACAATCATTTGTTATATTTAACAAATAATCCCTAACACCCCTCACCCAACCAATAAGCCAACTATGAGGGTCTGTGGACCCTTCCCCCGAAATGCAAATAACCCCAAAAGGACAGAACAGACCTCTGTTTATCACAGTAACCAGATAAACTTAAAGCCTTGTAGACAGAGTCTCCCTCCTACTTAATTCCCTCTGAAACTGACACATACTGCCTATAGGAAAAGACTCCTTTCATTAATTCATAAACAAACCTTTCTATGACCTTTCTGTCATGCGTGTCCCCAGGTCATTGTGTGCATTATTACTGTTCTTGTATATTGTCTTTTGTATTGTATACTGTTTTATTACAGATCTTCTTTATGCACCAAGAGCTTGTAACACTCCAAAGAGAAAGGAAAACTTGAAATCGCATCATATGACCCCTTTAATATAACCTCACCTATAGCATGTTTGGTATCGACAAATTCGTATTTTCATCATCTAAATGAGAGTGGATATTATATGTTGATACCTATACAACATATTTGTGTTTTAAGAAACTTTAATAGTTTTTGCATTAACACAATCCAGTTACATATGCAAAATACCATGTTCGAAGACAGAGTCGTAAACTTTTCCTCTGAAATGTTGTCACCGTTTGCTCACCGACCCATAGAAGTTAAAAGGTCCCACATCAGTGACCCGCCTCGCTCTTCTTTCTTCTTCGGCGCTCTTACCCTGTTGCCTTTTGGACATCCAGTCCAATCACGGTATGCGGGACCAGCCATGTTGCAACTTTCCACCTGGGAGACCACCACTGTGTCAGAATAACGTCTTTGGAGTTCATCACTCTTCAAACCCGGAAGAACGTGATCTCAATACCACCAAACCTTTAAACCATCAAGACTTTCATTGGAGACTGCATCCGGACACTCGTTCAGTGGCCAAGGCAATGCAAGTATCGTACATTTAACTAAACGAAACAGAGGTTTAGAATAAGCTGTGGACCCCGTTGTGAAACGGCACTGATGGTTTCACTCAGGTGGTTAACTGACTCATTTTCCATGCATTCTCTCTCTGTTTTCATTCATCCACTTTCACTCCCGTGTGTATGTATGCACGAGTGTGTGTGTGTGTGTATGTTTGTTAGACTAGTTATGTGTTGGTGTTTAGTTAATAAAAGCTTTGTGCACACATGATATGAGTTTCTGATTCTGTCACTGCTTGTTATTAGTGTCCCTTTAACGATTCCTGATCTTGTTGCATTTTCAAACCTGTCCTGGAGGACCCCCAGCCCTGCACATATTGTATGTCTCCCTCATCCAACACACCTGATTCAACTCATCAGTTCATTAGTATTTTGTTAGTGAACGTTTAGATCGGGGGGGTTTCAAACCTGTCTTGCACATTTTGTATGTCTCCCTAATCTAACACACCTGATTCAACTCATCAGCTCATTAGTATAGAGACTGCAAGACCTGAATTGGGTGTGTCTGATAAGGGAGACATACAAAATGTGCATGGCTTGGGGTCCTCCAGGACAGGTTTGAAAACCCCTGCTCTAATGCACTAGTACTGTAACTGTGCGTTCACACCGCCGGCGGCGAGAGCGTCAAAAGACACCTTGGTCCAAGCAACATTTTTTATTTTCACGTCTCTGTACACAGACAGAGACACATCATAAATGACTGGGAAACCCGCCACAGCAATAATTAATCTCTCTTCCATTTTGATTAGGAACTAATGTGTGGTCGGAACCAAAGTTTACAGGACTGCGTTCTCTGGGACCCTCTCAAGCGGAGGAATTCTACATTCCGATTGGTTGCCGCCCAACAGCGTCATAGTTCATTACCATAAAGTTGAACTGATTTCAACTCTCCTTGACGCCCTCGCCGGCCAAGACGCGCCGCGCCGCTCCTCGCCGCTTTTCGCCGCCTTTCGCCGCCCGCTCACATTGAAAATGAATGTCTTCCGGTCACTTTGACGCTCTCGCCGCCGGCGGTGTGAACGCACAGTAAGAAAGTTATTTTATATGGCCACAAAAATTTCAT